TGTGGTAAAACCATGGTTAATTTCCCATTCACCATTTTTACCCCCCACCCCACCCCACCCCAATTATTATATGAGCTAAAAGAAATCACACTGTTTCGTTAATATTATGTATATTTAAATATATTTTGGAATCAACTTTCAGAAAGTCTGAGCGTGTACATGGTTCTTTTTTCATGAAGAGATAGTAACGCAGATATTTCGATGCAGTGTGACGGTATCACCAGTAGAGGACGCCATAACATTTTTCTCTAACACTGTGAAGTCAATTAATACCCTGAAAGACATTGCTGTTTTTTTTTCATAAAAGGAAATAAAGTTTAAATTGAGATCTGACTTAAAAAAAAAACAGATTTTGAGTATTTAAATGTGAAAAGAATGTCCAGTGCTGGCAAAATATGTTCAGACTGATTAAAGTCATTACAGGACACACATAAATGGTGGTTTGGCATTTGTATAGGAACACCCACTGTATGACACAGCTGAGAACAAAACTGCTTATCTCACACTTCACACCTCAGGAATGTGTGCTGCTTTCTCTTCTATTTTTAGAGCTCAGTTGAGTTTGTGGTACTGTGGTGGTGGGACATCTGTTCTTTCAATGAACTCAAACACACATGCAGGTGGCTCAACACAGGAGATCCCGGGGGACCCAATTGGATGCCAGGCTGCAGTTTGCTGACATCACCCTGTCACCATCTTCCCCTTGGGCTCCGGCTGAGGATGGAGTAGTTTCCTTTGATCCAGAGCTCCTGTTATTGACATCATCTCTGGGATTTCCAATAGTGATTCATACACATACACATACCTATATGCTTGTACAGAAGCTTGATTTATGAAATACTCTGGCTACTTTACCTACTGTTTGCAGCTACCAGTAAGAGTTGCTGTATGTTGTACTCCTAGCTGCGTTTAACACATTTTACCATCTTTTTTTACTTTTAAGAGAGCAGTTTCCTTATATATTGAAGATTTGAGTAAATTTAGGCACAAGCCCTAGATTATTGCCATTGTGGCTAACAGTTAAAAGAGTTTAAAGCAGCCTGCTGTATTAATGTTTTGGAAAGTAATCCAATTAGCTTGTAAATAAAAGAGACTTTATTTATTAAACTGATTATATTTATCCAGATCATTGAGATGGATCATTTCTTTGTTCTTTCTGATTCAAATTTGACATTAATTTTAAAATCTTTGACTTAGGAGCATGAGTCTTAAAGTTGTCACAGCATTTTTAACAGTACAAACCTCATAATAATGAAGGAAAGTAGATGATAAGTAATAAATAATAATATGTCAAAATTTGTCACATAAGGAGTGACATGGATTTCCTAGTCTAGTAAGAGTTACAAAGGCACCATCGAGAGCATTCTGACTAGCTGCATCACTGTGTGGTATGGCGCCTGCAACGCGTCCTGCCGCAAGACACTTCAACGCATAGTGAGAGCAGCTGAGAAGATCGTTGGTGCCTCTCTCCCCTCCCTCCAGGACATTTACAACACC